CTCATAAGCCCTTCATCCGAACTATGACCTAATACATGAAGCAAATTACACACAGGGGATTCCAATGTATGGACTGGATTTACAGTTGCTCATATTTGTTGTTCTGGAACCGGTAAAAATAGGAAACCGGTTGACAAAGTGGCCCCAGATGATTGTCCATCGGAGAGAGTGAAATGGGTTTTATCGCTGCTTTGAACGGTAATCCACTTATATCACGCCGTGTCAGCTCAATGTGGGATCAAAGTCCGATGTGATGGCTGAATACATGTCTCAGACTTTGTTTGTTTGTTTGTTGTTTAACGCCGAACTCAATATACCAGCTATATGACGCGGTCTGTAAATAATTGAGTCTGGACCAGACAATCCATCGATAAGGTGAGGTGAAGTGAAATGGGGTCGAACGTCGCGTCGAAGATTATTACACTTATATAGCGACGTGCATGCACATGTGTGTGTGGCTGCTTGTACTAGTCCGAACTTATGCCGATTAATAGTGCTAGCTCACTGAGATACCATGCCGCAGTTTAACATGAATACCCCACTCAGACACAGTATACTGACCCCGAGCCGACCAGTCTTTGTTGTAGCCCCTTAATGCCGAGCGCCAGACAGGGTAACAACAAATACCATTTTTCAACGGCTCTCCGGGCGGACGCTCTACCACTAGACCACGGAGGTGGTCTTCCAGTGATTAATTCATACCATGAGCATCGACCTAGGCAGCTGGGATACGATGACATGCATCAACCAATTCGAAAAAAACAAGCACAGGTATGGTCCGAACAAACCAAGATACATAATCGGAGCGAGCCGGGATTCGAACCCACGATAGGTGTCTGGCGTGCCCAATGGTCGCAACTCTGCACAGCGAACTACGACGCCTTAGACGACGGGCCACCCACGCCATATATACATTCATCCACTAAATTCATGATCCATGATGCATCCCGGCACCGTGTTTCAATGTTCACGCTATCGACCACTGGTTTGTTCGGCCCAAGCCATAACACCCGCAGACTGACATGCTATAGCTGGAATATTGCTGAGTAGACGACAAAACATTTCGAAATTATGATTTAGAGCTATCCCCCTTCATGACTGAATTGTTCTGACACAGGGGGCGCCCTAAGCCTATCGGGCCTCTGGTCATTTTGAACCTCTGTGTTTGATCTGGACCTTGCAAGAGCATCAGCGACGAGCGAGTAATTGCGTGTACATACTTCTTATGTTATTTTCAGGTGATGGTCAAGTTATCGCCGGAGCTAATGGTGAGTATCGATGGTGAGTTGGGGTGCATCTGATGTATTTGTTTGTTTGTTGTTTAACGCCGCACTCAGCAATATCCAAGCCATATGGCGGCGGTCTGTAAATAATCGAGTCTGGACCAGACAATCCAGTGATTAATATCATGCGCGTCGATCCACGCAATTGGGATCGATGACATGCTTCAACCAAGTCAGTGAGCCTTACCACCCGATCCCGTTAGTTGCCTCTTACGACAAGCATAGTCGCCTTTTACGGCAATCATGGGTTGCTGAAGACCTATTCTACCCCGGATCTTCACGGGTCGGGTGTTTGGGAAGAACAGCGGACTGTATGTCAAACAACAGCGGGGAGAGTATGGTAAACGCTGCAAAAAGACATAACAAATGATACATCTACTTTTTTATTGCTATCAAACGGAACTGAAGTATAGATAGACTCTTCGGGATTCTAGCGCAGAATAGATCCACATTTCCCCAGGTTTGTTGTGAAAGAGCGGAATGAATAACGTTCGTCTTGTCTCAGGGTGTAACATCTGACTGATTGTGTGTCATCATAGCCCTTTGACAATGACATATTCAGTGACCACATTTCCTATTCAGCAGAGCGCTCAAGCAAGAATCATACTCTCTGCTGACTACTGATTTTTGACAATAACAAATATTTACAAAACCACTTGCTAAACGACAAACACTGCCCTTGAAAATCTATACACCATAAATACACTTTGCTACGGTGTGATCAGAAGGGTAAACTGTTTGCTTTGAGGAGGATTTACCACCGAAATGTGTGTCATGGGTCATAGTGTTCGTGTCACGTATTGCAGCCGTATCTTAGGGGCCGTATCATAAGGGCTAAAGGGATTTAACCTTCCTTACACAAGCAGTAATCAAACTGCAGCATTTACAGGGCAGGATAAATAATCGCTTACCTTTTTTTGAAACAACAAACGGGGGATTCATATTGACTAATTGAACAGGTATATGAGTTCATATGTATATAGTCAGGCAATCAATGGGAAGAAATTTGATATAATCACAAATTTGACACACAAAAAATCCCGGAAAAGTTTGGAAAGTATTTTATGGATAAACAGCAGCAACTTAGTTATCGACGAATTCTGTCAATATTATAGTTTTACGAAACTTTTGAGTTACCGTATTCGACGTAATAAGCGCCGTCAACATTAGAAAAAGGGGCTCTTATTAGAATAAAATTTTAGTGAGAAAAAAAACAGAGTTGAAAGATCGTAAATTTTGTAGTTTATGCTGACAGCCTGAAATGATACAAACAAATGAACAATGATCAATCGGAAGTATGTGCGTATCATACACGACAGATATATTTTCCAGAAAATAATTGCTCATAATTAAGGGGGCATATAGTACACGAGTGCGTATTATACACGAATAAATAAGTCTTGTGAACATTGATCAATCGGAAGGGGTGCTAACTGGGATTGTTCACTAGCCAATGTATTAGCAAACATCGCCGCGGGCGCTTATTAGAGCTGGGCGTGTATTACGTCGAATACGGTAACTCCTTTTGAGCACAACTTCAATACCGTGTCCTTTTGTTTAGCAAATAATATATAATTCAAAGTAACAGACAATACACAATCAAATGAAAAGAACTACGGAGGTGTGTGGGCGAGAGAAACGTGGCCATCTGTGAAACAACTTCGCGGTAACGAGCGCTAACATCTGATTTTGTTGATTTTGTCGTGTGAAACAATGTTCGGGGATTATGGAGTCATGTAATCCTTAGACCCGTGAAGATCCGGGTTACAAAATAGGTTTTCAGCAACCCATGACTCCACTCGGGTGACCCGCTGACTTGGTTGATGGTTAACGTCTCCCAACTGCGTAGACCGATGTTCATGATATCATTTAATCACTGGATTGTCTGGTCCAGACTCGATAATTTACAGACCGTCGTCATATTGCTGGAATATGTTTTGATTGCGGCGTAAAACAACAAACAAAGAAATCCTTAGCTGAACAAACGTTTTATGTAAATGATGCGTAAAAGCTATAGCAGTCTGCTTTTGACCCTTTTTAATATTTTAACCCAAGCTGTTGTGAAATTCGAGAAAACGATTTGGGACCGGGAGCTGCTGTATAAAGTTTCAGTCAGGAGACGGAAACCGTCAGTAATTCAAATATTTATGTTTTTTGGCCTCGTGCTGCACACGAGTAACAGATGAAATGCTATCTCCCAACTCATACAAATGCAAACACATTTCAAGTGGTTATGGCCGACAAATTCGGATAGCCAACAGTAGTCTATAAACAGTAATAAGCAGTGTCTTGGTGTAAAAAGTACACAACCAGTTTCAGTAGCAGAGATTAGTGACTTCATTTGACTGTGACATCATGGAAACGATGATGTCACAGTGGTCTGCAAAGCATTGTGATGGAATTTCATTTTTCCTTGATCTCATAGGGGATATTTCATGTGTCGAGGATATATTTTAAGATAGAAAATATCTCCTTTACACCTGTCACGAGATGAGAAAAATCATGATATTTCACGAGGCACATGGAATATCCTATTTATCCTTTACTTTTTGTGTAGCGGTCTACCGGAAAATTAAATTGTTTCATTACAAATGCAAAACCTGGAAAAGTAACTTCTCCCTACCTAACACACAGGGACGATTCACCACCCATTGTATTTGAGACTAAAAATGTAGCTATAATATATATCCATACACAATCAACTTCAACAAATAATATTCCAGAAAACTACGAGACCGCTGATGGAAGCGAAAGAACACACGCTGGTCAAGTAACTTAAATGGCACTTTGCGAAACGAACAGTCTCGATTGACGAGTTAAGTGAGAAATCTGCAGAGTATAACGAAACATTTTCAAGAGAATAACAAATAGCCTGAAGCGATATTAACATTATAATATGTCATTATTTTGCCTTTTCAAAGTGGAACTAACTTAAAAAGGAAGTCAACAGTTTGTGTACGAACTAGACACTTACGATAAAGGGAGACAATTTGTGGGGAGGTCACTCTTGTATGACAATAGTTCAGTCAAAGTATTATTTTCACAGCCGTGAAATATCAAGTGTTATGTTCATTGCAGTGAAATACCAATTGTTATGTTCACTGCAATGAAAATATCACTGTTCTCAACTTGGGAAAACCCTGTCTTTCACACTTAAGTATATAACAAATCCACATTACATCTGTGGAAGCGACCCCTGAGGTAGAATAGGCCTTCAGCAACCCATGCGTACCGTAAAATGCGACTAACGGGATCAGGTGGTCGGGCTTGCTGACTTGGTTGATGCATGTCATCGATCCCAATTGCGTGGATCGATGCTCATGATGCCAATCACTGGATTGTCTGGTCCAGACTCGATTATTTACAGACCGCCGTCATATAGAAGGAATAATGCTAAGTGCGGCGTTAAACAACAAACAAACAAACTACATCTGTGGAAGTCTGGGATGATAAACAGAAGATATTTCAAGTGTCTGGTGAATCATGTATCACATCCAGTGATGTGGAAAAGGAGATATTTTCAGGAGTGGGGCAGCATGGTATAGAAAACGGAAGGTCAAACCTCTACTAACAGCCTCCCTCATTATAGACAACAATGAAAGACAGATAATCTCACCTAATTTGTGAGGTATTCTCTAAATGCACACTGGTAGTTACCCATATCAAAATAAGCAGGCATGTTTATAAGCATATGTGATATAATAACAGTTTACTCACTTCCGCCCATGATCCTCGGGTATCCTTTGGACTTTGACTTGAACTTCCAGAAAATCAGGTCCCGTGGGGTCATCGAACCACAACTGACAGTATAGGGTGCCACCCCCTCCCCTAGTGGAGAGACCCAATAATCGAACGATTGGGGACGCTTCGATCACATCGTCAAAAAATGCCGAGAAAACATAAAATGCATCACTGTGGCCAATTCTTTGAAATTGTTGAATATCTGGCACGCTGGTGGGTCGTTTAACGTGTGGACACCCAGGACTTGTTCTATTTCGAAATTTCAATGAGTCGGAAAAAGGCCTTGATGTTGTTGTTGTTGTTGTTGTTGTTGTTGTTGTTGTTCGAATTGTTGTTTTGTCCTTTAATGTCTTGGCAAATTCGTATTGTTCAACCGTCCCTTTAGGTACTTTCGATGCGAGTCCATATAAGTAAAACAAAAATACCAACAGGTTCACAAGGGAAAGCGTGTAGAACGCTCGTCTTATCCTTAACCTCATGTTTAAAAACACAAGCCGATTCACATCACCACAACTTTTAATCTCAAAACTGGAATGTAGCCTTGTCAGTCTAACCGTGGGTCCGGAGATTAATAATTCACGTCAAAAATACGTCAAAGTTTTCAGCAAGAAATTACTTCCGTCATCAAGACTAGTGAGTTTGATATGTTTGGCAAGATGATTTTGGGAATCCTTGTAATCACATCAAGATGAAGAAATTCACGAACCCCATGGCAAAGTCAATCACCAAGTGTGTATCTACCGGGTCTGTACGTTAAACTCTCACCAGCACAATCGATAACCCGTCCCCTCTCCGCGCAGGATAAACACTGCAATCCCAAATGAAATGGTTATCTCGGCGTGCACGTTCCATTGTCACCTTCGCGACTACGGGTATCCATGGCAACACACAACTGACAGACGACATGGAGGTTGTCCCCAACCCCTTCGCAGTCTAGCGACATCGTGGTTTCACCTTGTTACATACATGAGTATTGAGAAATAACCACGGGACCACTTCCTCGGTCCGGTCAGCGCTACTCCTGTCGCCCATTACTGTGTTCGCAGGCCCGAAACGGACATTCGACAAATGTCGCTTTTGTTGTTTACAACACGCAGGCTACCATTGTTTGAATGGCAGAGCGTCTGTTATAATGATGTTAACACTCACGCAGTTATTACCTAGCCTCGCTGGGTCAGGATAGGCGTTGGGGAGGAGCAGGGCCTGTTGGTGTACAGTGGGGGTTTATCCTTGGCCCTGTCGCCACTATTTTGATAGTAGTCCATATTGAATTACCTCCCTTGTACCAATAATTAACCTGAATAACACTCGTTCCGAGACAACGATGCCGCATTGATCGCTGTAACAAGGGGAGGTAATGGGTGCATTCCTGAACAATGTATCCGCTCAAGCCTCATCTACTTTAACAGGATTTATTTTCCTGTTATAAATACTGTGTTCTACAGTCCAGCCTCGTGAATGACTAGACATTAGCATATGTATGGTATTTAAGCTATTAAATCCGCAACGGTTTCACATGTAAATAACTAATTTATATAGCAAATGGAAATACTGTATATAACCTAATAGGCGACGGTCTGGTAACATGCTCCCGTCTCAAATAAGCTCTGGTTACGAAGCAGCGTACAACACAACGCGCGATATAAAACACTTCTCCCTGGAATGCAGTAAGGCTTAGAAAAGGTTTTATTTTAGCACCGCATGAAAACAGCCTTAAATTTGGTTAGGTGTTCTTAGTTGCAATTTCATATTACTATGTTTGAGATTGTATGTCAGTTTTGTAGTGACTATAACTCATGCATCACCAAAGTCATCATATGCGGGTCTCCTATTACCGCCGGGCGACCATTACCTACCGGGTGTAGCTTGTTCTTAGAAAAAAGGGTTGCTTATTAGTTGAAATACGGTAGAAAGGTTACTTTGCTGTCCTGATAAGCAATAATAAAATACGGGGCTGTTGTAACAGCTGACGCCTAACCAGCAGGCAAACACAACCCACAGCTTCTGTATTGCCCGGGGCATGTACCCAGATCACAGTTTATGGTTTGGAAAAGGATTAGCGACAGGCACACATTTACAAAACCTTCCCAATACAGGATGTTAAATTTCATTTTAAGATATTTCTGCGTGTGCTCCATTTTCTACACGTGTTCAATGAATCAGCATATAAACCTGAACCATATCTTGAAAATTCAATTTGGTACAGCTTAGATACTTTGCTGTGACTTGGAGCTTCAAGATACGTAGATGTAATCACGGTGTGACTTGAGGCTTCAAGATGCGTAGATTTAATCACGGTGTGACTTGAAGCTTCAAGATACGTAGATGTAATCACGGTGTGACTTGAAGCTTCAAGATACGTAGATGTAATCACGGTGTGACTAAAAGTTGTTCAAGATACGTAGATGTAATCACGGTGTGACTTAATTGTTCAAGATACGTAGATGTAATCACGGTGTGACTTAATTGTTCAAGAAACGTAGATGTAATCATGATGTGACTTAATTGTTCAAGATACGTAGATATAATCACGGTGTGACTAGATTGTTCAAGATACGTAGATATAATCACGGTGTGACTAAATTGTTCAAGATACGTAGATGTAATCATGGTGTGACTTGAATGTTCAAGATACGTAGATTTAATCATGGTGTGACTTGAATGTTCAAGATACGTAGATTTAATCACGGTGTTACTTGAATCTTCAAGATACGTAGATGTAATCATTGTGTGACTTAATTGTTCAAGATACGTAGATGTAATCACTGTGTGACTTGAATGTTCAAGATACGTAGATGTAATCACGGTGTTACTTGATGTTCAAGATACGTAGATGAAATCACGGTGTTACTTGAATCTTCAAGATACGTAGATGTAATCATGGTGTGACTTGATCTTCAAGATACGTAGATGTTTTCATGGCGTGACTTAAAGCTTCAAGACACGTAGATGTTATCACGGTGTGCCTTGATCTTCAAGATACGTAGATGTAATCATGGTGTTATTTGATCTTCAAGATACGTAGATGCAATCATGGCGTGACTTGATCTTCGAGATACGTGGATGCCAGGCAGAGTTTTCTGACTTCAATTTATGGCCCCGTGATAAGATCATATCAATCTTCAAATGGACCAAAACAATCCTACATAAAACATAGCTAAAGAAGACATTCGTCAACTTGCAGTGCCGGATTGAGGGGGGTGGAAATTCCCACTATAGCATGAAAATGTGCGCACCCACCCTCTACTCCTCCCCCCCGCACGCACGCACACGCAGGAGCGCGCGCTTACACACACACACGCACACGAACACACATAATTGTTACTATCGATTATCTATTTCAAAAGTTACATGTTATTTCAGTTCGTTATGATGTTATCAAAAAGAGTCAGTGAATTGCATTACGCCATGCAGAGTTACGTCCCTTATACAAAAGACCTGCCAGGATCGAACCACCGGTCGTGGGTTCGAATCCCACATTCACCCTGATGCTGATTCGTGGTCTGTAGGCACCATACCCGTTCCCGAAGGTGGTATCAAAGTGGAAAACGTCTTTCAATTTTTAAGTCACATCATAAATTGACAAGCAACCGTATCCTCAAAGGCCCAAAGCTACATTAACATCCAAATCACCCCATGACAATGATAGATGGGTGTGTGAGTGGTGGGTGTGCTAGGGGAAAGTCTGGACATCTGGAGAAAATATCGACAAAGACAAAAAATCCGTTTATTGTGTATTTTCGCACTGCTTTTTACTCTTTCTCAGAAAACCACAGTGTATTTGGGGTGGAGGAAGTAAAAACAGTGGTATTTCACTCGAGAGACTATCCCTCTCATATTTTCAGATAAGTATTGTACTTCATCACTAAAAACATAAAAAATAAAAGTTTTGCCACACATGAATAGAGAACATTCAGGAAAACAAATTACTGTTATATAAATCATTCTACTCGCGGCTTGGCACCAGTCAATTCTGATCGTGGGTGGATGTCGTTAACGTTTAAAAAACAGTGGTATTTTACTCGAGAGACTATCCCTCTCATATTTTCAGATAAGTATAGTACTTCATCACTAAAAACGTAAAAAATAATAGTTTGCCACACATCAATAAAGAACATTTTCAGGAAAACAAATTACTGTTATATGAATCATTCTACTCGCGGCTTAGCACCAGTCAATTCTGATCGTGGGTGGATGTCGTTAACGTTTAAGAAGCTCGTACTTTTTAAGGCCCATCAATTTCATGTTTATTTTATGAAGTGAAATACAATACAATATCAGGAATGAGTTGCTCGAACATAGTCATGTGTTCACAACATGCAATCATTGCGTTATATGCATTCTTTTTAAAAATTAATAATTATATATTCTCATCAAACATCAAATATGTCTTGTAAAATTATGTTCAATATTATCAAGTCAACTCCGAAACCTATAATTTCATTTTAGAATGTAAAACGAGAAGTAGCTTTACATTAATGAGTCATTATGCCAGGGTGGAGAGTACATATATATTTCGTGAATGTGAATTAGCATGGTAGTTTTATTCCAAAGAAAGAAATATATCACTTAATGTTATGTTGTTAGCAAAATTAAAAGAAATATGTCTACGAATAATAAATATATATATTTATGCTAAAGTGGAAACACACACGCACACACGCACACACACACACACACGCAAGCGCAAGCACACATACATGCATGCAGTGGATCGATGATCATGATGTCAATCACTGGATTGTCTGGTCAAGACTCGATAGTTTACAGTCATATAGCTGGAATATTGCTGAGTGCGGCGTTAAACAAACAAACAAACATACACGCAAGCACATGCACACACACGCATGCAAACACTCACACAGGCACACAAACACACACATGCACGCACGATAACACACATGCACGCACGCAAGCACACACGTGCAAATACATACATACCTATGTATCACTTCAAACTTATCGACGTAGAACCCCAACAAACATGTTCAGTGTATGAGATATTATTTCTTATATCTAAATAATGTCTAAAATATGCTTCAGCAAATGAAGCAGATAAGTGGGTGAGCGTTTGCTTAGACTATCGATGAAAGTGATATATTTTACAAAAGCTTCTGTCACTATTGTCACAAGTCATCACTGGTCTTGGTGACGTCTCACCTACTCGCATCCATCTTGTTACGTTTTGTTGTAGAAGATCTTTAAGAACGGGGGTCAGGGAATCGCTGAAATAATCCCTATAATCGTTGCCGTCACGTGAAACCGCAACGTCATCTGTACCAGCTTACGACCCCCAAAAACGGAAATTGCACACGCGCACACGCGCACGCACGCACGCACGCACGCACGCACGCACGCTCGCACGTACACAAAGATTTTCTTCACTGTACTTTATTATATGTGAACGCGTTTTATCTCCGAAAACACTGCGATGAAATAAACGCTGTGAAAATGTCTTCGCTAACATGATTTCATGTGACTTCAATAATTGCCTGCAAGAGCTGTCAATGTTAATGTCTTATTTAAGTAGCCAATAGCCTGGCTATCTACATGATGGGACATCGGTCACACTGCGACTTTATTCTTGAAAGTGAGTGAGTGAGTGAGTGAGTGAGTGAGTTGGGTTTAACGCCGCTTTTAACAATTTTCCAGTTATATCACGGCGTGTCAGCTTAATGTGGGAGGAAAGCCCGAAGTGATGCAGGTCTCAGACGTTTACCACTTCGGTGAAACCCACGAGCACGGGTATGGTGCTGACAAACCACGAAACATAATCGGGGCGAACCGGGATAAGAACCCACAATCATAGGTTTCTGGCGTGCCCAAAGGGACGCAACTCTGCACAGCGAATCGCGGCGCCTTAGACGACTGGGCCCCCCGTGCCCCCCGTTATGTTGTAGAAGATCTTAAAGAACGGGGTTCAGGGAATCGCTGAAATGGGCTGACATTGGACTTGCACTGTCATAATCCCTATAATCGCTGCCGTCACGTATAACCGCAACGTCATCTGTACCAGCTTACGAACCCCGAAATTGGAAATTTCACACGCGCACGCACGCACGCTCACACAAACACAACATTTTCTTCACTGTACTCTATCAAATATGAACGCGTTTTATCTCCGAAAACACTGCGATGAAAAAAACGCTGTGAAAATGTCTTCGCTAACATGATTTCATGTGACTTCGTTAATTGCTTGCACGAGCTGTCAATGTTAATGTCTTATTTAAGTAGCCAATAGCCTGGCTATCTACATGATGGGACAT